AAAATCTCATCACAATTACCCAGAACCCAAAGTGGCACCTACACAACACAACCAGGCATCCAAACCTCAAAATGATTACAAATAAATACAGATTATTAAAAGTAAAAGCAGCAAATCATCACATCTGTGAAGCTGGAGCCTTGAAATGTGTTTTGCATAAAAAATGAAAAACATTTCACTCTGAATTGTACAAGTAGAAACTGAGATGGAAAGACTAAAGTAGGCCAACCTCCAACGCATGCTTCAGTACAGTAAGCTACTTCAGTTAATGTTCTTCCACATACTGGCTACTTTCCACTATTTCGGGGGATATTTGTCAAGACAAGCCAGACAAAGTGCAGAGGGAGGGTTAATGGCTCACTCAGCTCGGCTCTATTGTGCCTGCATGGGCGCGGTCTTATCGGGCAGGGCAGGGCAGGGCAAGGTGCGCTTTTATTACTTCATACAAACACAGACACTGCGCAGCACACCGACTTCCCCTGCGAGCACTCTTCGGATATTGTCGCTGCCCTCTGCCCCCCCTCTTGGCCGGAGAGTAAAAAAAGAAAAAATGACGAGTCTGGATCCGCTGAAATCCGTCATTTCCATCATAAATGTGGACGACACGTCCCTGGCTCTGCCGTCCGTTAACCAGTACCGATCGGGCCAGCAGAGAGTCCTGGAGCAAGTGCAAACTATCAGGAGGACCAAGTCCAGGCAGTCCAGCAGCAGGAGTGGATCTGCTTCTACTCCAACAAGTAAGAGCGGCCAACACAGCAGGGCCGTACATAGGAGTCAGGGCAATGAGGGTTTTCAGGAGGGAACTGGCTGTTTCAGTTTTACAATTAAAAATAAAACCACATTTTTTTTCCTGGCAGCCTGCAGAGTGCTTTCAAACACCGTCTAGACCTTTTATGTTGAATCATGGTTGAGCAGACTGAATGACATGCATTTTACATCACTTTTAAGACTTAGTATGTTTAAATTTGATTACTTTTAGTGCAACAATATAATGCATAAATAAAGACTTTAAAATGTTTCCCCACTGGTAGCGTGGAGAAGGCTTTGAAACAATTTTAACACTTTCATGTTGGGAAATACAATTTACAAGAGGTGTGCTGAATATATAAAATGTAAAACTGAACAATTTTAGAGACCTGCTTTTGGGTTTGTCTAATTTTTCTAAACATGGTGAGCGGTCGCAGGGGGACCCAACCTCAGTATTTCTATCCTCTCCTATAGAGGCTATCTTTAAATCTTATACATAGACAAAAAAAAAAAAAACATTTATCAAAGATAGAAGACACTCTTGCAACCTGAGGCTTGTCTATGTAAAAACACAGCAAATTATTTTAACATCCAGAAGTCTTTTAAATCAAACAGATGTTCAGCATTTAAATATACAATACAAGTGGTTATTGATTGAACATTTACAACAGAATTATCAAAATAAGATTTGCAGTGTGACCTTTACAGGTATATTGAGCCAGACTGACTTTTACTCATTAATGTTTTCCCTTCCTGCAATCTACCAGTCTAAAGTGTCAGCTGGCTTTCAGGACAGTTTTAAGGCTTTAATTCCACGTGGGCATGTAATCTTTGAGCATAACCCAAAGATCAGGACTCGCAGCCAGGGAACTGTTTTATGTCCTCTCTCCTTAAAGGGAATAAATTAATGACAATGAATGCCGGACTTGATTGCTTGGGTTTTTTTTGCAAAACTATCTAGGTGTCTAAATGCAAAAAACTGTTATATATGTGACTGTTATAGTATATTTTATTATTAGAATATTTTTACTCATTAATGTAAAAGCAGCATTTTACTATTTAGTTGAGGTGGCGCTCATTTTGAACTAGTTTGCATAAGACTGCAACTAATGATTAAAATAAGAAAACAGTGAAAAATCTCATCACAATTACCCAGAGCCCAAAGTGGCACCTACACAATACAACAGATGTTCAGCATTTAAATAAACAATACAAGTGGTTATTGATTGAACATTCACAACAGAGTTATCGAAATAAGATTTGCAGTGTGACCTTTACAGGTATATTGAGCCAGACTGACAGACTTTTACGCATTAATGTTTTCACTTCCTGCTTCCTGGCTTTCAGGACAGTTTTAGGGCTTTAATTCCATGTGGGCACGTAATCTTTGAGCATAACCCAAAGATCAGGACTCGCAGCCAGGGAACTGTTTTATTTCCTCTCTCCTTAAAGGGAATAAATAAATGACATTGATCTCAGGTGTGCACAGTTCATATAATATAAGCTGATAACTCTCCACATTTTCCCTCAGGCCCTGTGTACGACTCCGTGTTCATCGATACCTTCAAGTCACAGTTGAGTCCATCTAATGGGGGTGTTTTCTTGGAGAATGGCTTTTCTAAAGTAGTAAGTTATGAAGCTTATCTTTATTTTATTATTTTTTTTATTACATCATTGGCAAGAGTGACTCTCCTGGCTGTATTACCATCACAGTGTCGTCATGGAACGTAGTTGAGGAGTGTGGAGGATTGTATCTCCTTTTTGTGTTTTGAACAACTTGAAATGAGTTTTGATTCTACAACTCTGCACAAATTACACAGTTTTTTACAGTTTTTATTTAAGTATTTAAAGTAATGTAGTATGTAGATTAGTCTGGCAAATAACAAATTAATGGGAAAAATGCCCATGATGGTGCTCATTTTGCCTGACTAAATATCAAAAACTCAAACATATTTAATTTACTATCATATATGGCAGAGAATGGTAGCAAATCTTTTTTTCTTCTTTTTTTCTTCAATATTCTTTTTGCTTGAAAAATTACTAAAACAATCATTAAAATAGTTGCTCACTAACTTTCTTTAAAGCAGCCAACTGACTAATCAATCAAATGACTAAAGTGTGAAAAAGTAAAATAATCAAATTTTTGGTGGCCAGGGAAAAGATGTCTCGTGCATGTGGGGGATCTTTACTTCAGACCTCAGTATTTTTTACAGCCCTGGTTTGAGGGAATACTAAGGGTTGACTTGTAAATAAAAGTGCAAGTGTTATATTTCACCACTATTTGATGCATCATTTTTGCATAAATAACACAACTAACACCGGTGATTGTATGAATTTCTTTTGCAGTTTAGTACAGCACTTCCCTACACCATATTGTGGAGGCCTGATACCAATAATAAGAAACAGGAGTTGAAAAATTTGTTGTCCTCAGTTGACTTTTTTACCCATTTCTGCCTCAAAAAACAGTTTCTTAATCCTTGCAGAGACTTTCTGTCTCGTCATGCAAAAATGTGTTTACCCGCCCCTCCCGCATAGGCTGCCAGTCATCCATATAAGCAACCCACAGGGCTGAACACCAAAAAACGTCTTTCACAATTCGATTTACCATTGCCAGCTCCATGTCAGTCACTGACACACTCACGTGTCCTTGCTTAGTTGCTGGTGAAATAAAAGACACGATTATCTTTCATTACAAACACATGTATTCTTTGGCTCTGCAGCTCAGCCAAGAGAAAAACAACATTAAGGGATCCACCGTGAAGAGGAATACTGCAGCTTCTGCCTATCAATATGAGAGGAGTTACACCGCTGTCGGCTCCAAGGCGGTTGGTCAAACAAACACCAGCCGCAGCGAGCCTGATCTGGCCTGGCAGCGCTTGATGCCAAAACGCTCCCTTCCTCCGCAGAGGCTCGCCTCCAACAGGGGCAACTACAGGGCACAAAGGTCCATCAGTCAGTTTATTACGAGCACCACATCCCAGCCTCAGCCTAAGCCTATGCCTCAGCCTCAGCCTCAGTATACTATCAATGGTACAAGTCAGACCAAAACAAACACCCAGTTTGTGTGCAGCCAGGTTGACGGGTTCAAAACATCTATAAGGCCTTCCGTTACCGAGGGCACTCCAAGGAGCAAAGGAGATTCAGGGTCGGTGGGAAAATAACTTTCTTTATTTCAAATTCTATGAAAAAGGTGTTTCAATGAAAAAATTATTCTTTCATGTTCTCAGTGTATTTAAATAGCATTTAGATTGTATTTCTGTTCTTTACAGGTCAAATGGCAACAGTGGAATTGCTGATATCACTATGAAGGAGGCTGTGGAGTATCTTTCCAACAGTGATGAGACTTATCAGCACTGTGGCGCTTCCTACATACAACACAACACTTTCATTAACGACAAGGCTAAAGACGAGGTGGTTTTTCTTGTTATGTGGTCATGCTTATAATTTACATCTGATAGTAACATGAGATTTAGTGAGAAAAGGCAGTTGACAAAGAGGAAATATATAAGATATATCATCCTGCCAAAATGAAAATGAACTACTGACCCCCATGGCAGTCAAAACTCAAATAAGTTTTTTTTGTTGTTTGTTTTTTCATTCTTGTGTTTTTACCTACTTTGTGTGATTATTTTTCAATTTGAAGTGAAATATTGTTCTTAGGTCT